CCGGGTCGCCCTCCCTGCTGCCGCGCTGGCCAAGGTGAGCCGGGGGCAGGAAGGGGCGACGCGGGCGGTGCCGCAGGATGCGGCAGATCCCGGCGATGCCGACGCTGGGAGGAAGCCCGCCGGCCCGGCGAGTGCGGTGGTTTGTTCAGCGGAGGGCAAGGGAACTGAGATTAAAAAAAGCCCCGCTAAGATCAGAAAGGCTGGCGCGCACAGTGCCCTATTGTGGAGCTGTCACACTTCCCTTTACTTTATTGCTTTTGTCCAACACCCTATTGTTCCACTTCCTTTTGTCCCCTATTCACAGCCCTGGCTTTTCATTACCCAGCCGGCCTTGTTGTTTTCGTTTCTTTTGTTTGAAGTTCCTGAGAGGAAGGTTTTATTTTCAGCGGTTTGATTAATTCGCAGCTTGAGCTGGGCTTTGTTTGTTATGTAATTGCTGCCCTGAGTGGGGCAGCCCGGCTCAGCGCCCCCCCCACCTCCATCCCAGCTCACACCCCCAGCCCTGGTTTAGGGGCGTCTGGGCTGTGCGGAGGTGAGAGGGAGCAGAGCAGGGGGGTCCTGGTGTGGGGTGCAGGATGCTCTCCCCATCCCACCACGGCTCCTGCGCACCTCAGCGTCCCCTGTGGTCCTGCAGCCCGGATCCTGGCTCCTGGCAGGGGAATTTCCCTTCCTTCACATCCTCCTTTTCCCATTATTCCTCCCTGAAAGGCAGTGGGAAGGTAATATTTATTCCCGTTCTTGCTGCGCAGCGTGAGGGTCGGTGGCCCTGGGAGGGCAAATCCCTGCGAGCACGGCAGCGGAGATGAGGTGGCAGAGGGACACGGCCCAGCTCGAGTCACTTCTGTGGTGCCCGGGCATGGGGCCGGCAGCACCGGGGCTTGGACCAGCAGCCACGGCCGTGCCGGTGACACCGGGGAGAGCCATTCCCTGGGGTCAGCCCCCTGCGGCTCGGCTGGTCCCAGCTCCGTGCCGTGCTGGGGACTCCCGGAGGAGCGGTTCTGGTGGCCGTCCCAGCCATTGTTCGGTGGGGCCAGGATTTCCATTTCCCGTCGGAGGGAAAGCTGCCCGCTGCCCGGCCGGCTTTCTAGGCACGGCTGCGGGGGGGGGGCGGCTGTGAGCCGAGAACCCCTGGGGTGCTGGCTCGGGTCTGGCACGGGTGTCAGCCGCGGTGAGCCTTGGGCTGCTCTCTGCCGGGCTGCTGGATGAAACGCGAAGGCACGTGCTCATATTGGCCCTAAAGCCCATCCCTCTAGGTCGCTTTTTTTTAGGGCTTTGCTTTGTTTCTCCATTCGCTCCACAGCCCAAAGTGTGAAGGGTTTGTTTCCCTGGAGGGTTCTGACCATTGAGCCCCAAATCTACAAAAAAACTGTTCTTGGGAGGCCAGGAGAGCTCAGCTTTGCCAAGCCATGGCAAAAAGTGGGACCATTGCCCCTGTAAAAACAGCAGGATGGGGCCAGGCTGGGAAAGGGGGTCTCTGTGGCCGGGGGGTGCCCGTGGCTCTGCTGATGGCCCTGCTGCCCCATAGGATGTCCATGAGGAGCCCCGTTTCCCCCCACCTGGAGCTCGATGGAGCGGGCAGCATGGTGAACTGCACCATCAAGACGGAGGAGAAGAAGGAGGGTGGCTACGAGTCGCCGCCGGGGGCTGCCCCCAGCACCGAGCCCCGTCCCAACGACCCGCCAGGGCCACCACCGAAGGAGGACACCGACCCCCAGGCCCTGCCACAGGTGGGTCCCTCAGCTGTGACAAACCCCTCGCTCCTGCTGGGGTCCTGCCGGGCTGGCGGAGCATTGCGGCCATCCCAGCTCCAGACCTGGGTTCTGTCCCCTGGCCTAGCAGGGAAGTTGGTGTCCCCGGGTGGTTATTCCTCATCCTGAGGAAGCAAAGCTGAAACCTCAGGCTCCCCCAAGGTTTTCTGGCTGTTATTGATGCTCTTGGGGATTTGAGTGCTTCGCCTTTGGCATGGAGCCCCCTGCTCCAGACATGCTCCATCCCTCCAGCCTCCCTTTTTTAATTGCTCTTGGGTTTTCTCATCCCACGACCAGCAGCCTCAGCCCTCCCACTCCCTGCGCTGCCTCCTGGGGAGGGGCCGGGGCTCAGAGGAGCCAGGCCATCTAAATAAATAGTAGAAACCTCCAGCAAACACGTCTTTACAGCATGAAGAGCAGAGATGCTCTCCAGCTGGGCTGGGGGAATGTGCCCGGCAGAGTGTGATCCAGCAGCCAGCTGGGCTGGGCCGGGCCGGCTCCAAGCATCCCACTGGCCCAGCACCTCCTGCCTGGAGACCTGGGGATGGTCCCATCCGTGGGAGCGGGTGCTGAGTGACTCTGTGTGTGTCACAGGAGTCCCACTCGCCCGCCGGCGATGCGCTGGAGCCCAGGCGCTCTGCCTTCGAGCCGGCCGTCAGTGGCCAGGAGAAGCTGGACTTCAACAAGAACTTGAAGGAGGGTAAGAAATATTTCCAAGTGGCCTCTGGGAGCCCTTTCCGCTCCCTTCAAGCCTCTCGGTATTTTCCAGAGCTGCGGGATGGGATGAGCCACCCCATGCCATGGTGCAGAGCCTCGGGCTGTGCTCACCTGGGTGTCCTCTCCCTCTCCCTGCTCTGCCGACCCCGGTCCCTGCTGGTGTGGACAGTGATGCCAACCATCGAGAAGTTGCTGTCCAGTGACTGGAAGGAGCGGCTGCTGGGCCGAAACACCGCCGAAGCCAAGGAAGTGAAAGGTGAGGTCTTGCTCTGACCACCCACCTCCACCGTCCTCCCCGTACCCGGGCAGCCGGGGCTGGAAACGTGGCGGTTCCCACCTTAACCGGAGGGAAGATGTGCCTGCAAGGGTTTTTATTTAATCATTTAATAATTTAATGAGGGTTTGTGCTTTTTAAACCAAAACATTCATTTGATTTTTGGGGGGGTGAGCACGCCCGATGAACTTTTGCCCTCTGCACTGAGGGGCTGGTTCAGCACGTGGGGATCTTTATGCCCCCTGCGCCTGAGCCGTTTCCTCGCCGTCACACCGGTGGTGGTGATGCTGTTCACCCTCCCCAAGCCTCTGACCCGCAGCCACTTGGTTTTTTGCAGGAACCCAGGAGAGCTTGGCGGAGAAGGAGCTCCAGCTACTTGTTATGATCAACCAGCTGTCCACGCTGCGGGACCAGCTCCTGACAGCCCACTCGGAGCAGAAGAACATGGCCGCGATGCTCTTCGAGAAGCAGCAGCAGCAGATGGAGCTGGCACGGCAGCAGCAGGAGCAGGTGGGCTTGGGTCCCCGTGGGCAGCTTGCTCGAGGCAAACATTTGCCAGAGACCGTCCATCCCTTTGGGGGTCCCTTTGGGATCTGCTGGCTGTGGGTGCAGGACCAGGACAGGGTTCTCCTGGGGGCGGTGGGGAGGTGGCTTTGGCGTCGGGGGCAGCGGGACTTCTCTGTCTGCCCAGAAACCCTCTCGTTTTCTGTGCCCACCTCAAAGACTCCCCATCTCACTCCCTGGTGCTGGGAGGATGAGGGTCAAAGAAAATGAGAATTGCGCTCCTTAAAATAATTAAACCTGACTGTGCTCTCTTTGAACACCCATTTTTCCTCTCCGGTGGCCCATACGGTGCTAAGGGCAGCAGTGACACCCCTGGCATACCCTGGGGCGGGGGTGACACTGTCCCTCCAGTCTGTTTCTCTCCCCCTGCCTTTCGAGGTGGCTCAGGGGCAGCTCAGCCACCCCCCGCCTGCCCCCCGCACGGCCCTCAGGACCCTCTGCAGACCCCTCGTCCCCATTTTGCTGGTGTTGGACAGCTCGTGCCGGGCCGTAGCCCCGCTGGGGCCAGCTCGGTGCTGCTGTTGATGCCGCTGAGCCCTGGTGTCTCCTCTCTTGACAGATCGCCAAGCAGCAGCAGCAGCTCATCCAGCAGCAGCACAAAATCAACCTGCTGCAGCAACAGATCCAGGTAAAGGCAGGGGACACCTCCCCATGTCCCCCTCCCCACGTTGGGTGATTGCAGCCCCCTCGTGTGCCCCTCCCGGGGCCAGGCAAGGGGATGGCACCTGCCTGCCATGTCCGGCAGTGGTTATCTGGTCTCTCTGCTTCTCTCCCCCTCTTCCCTCCAGCAGGTCAACATGCCCTATGTCATGATTCCCGCCTTCACCCCCAGCCACCAGCCTCTCCCCGTCACTCCCGACTCCCAGTTAGCGCTGCCCATCCAGCCCATCCCCTGCAAACCAGGTGAGCGGGGTCCCCGGGACTGCCCCACGCCCTGCGGGGTGGCCTTGTCCCCCAACCCCTCTCCCTCTGCTCCCCGCAGTGGAATACCCGGTGCAGCTGCTGCACAGCCCCCCTCCTCCCACGCTGAAGAGACCCGCTGGCTCGGGCCACCTCCAGATGCAGGTACAGCCCCAAAGTACCTCCATCCCCCGGGTTGGGGTGCTGGGGGGGGCTGCGCTTTACCCCCACCTCCTCTCTGTTGCAGGAGACCTCACAGCCACTGAACCTGACAGCCAAACCCAAAGGTTCCGACCTCCCCAGTGCCTCCAGCTCGCCCAGTTTGAAGATGAGTGGCTGCCAGTCCCTCACGCCGAGTCATGGGGCCACCAGGGACCTGCAGACCAGCCCGTCCAACCTGCCTCTGGGTGGGTTCCCAAGTGCCTTCACTGGGGGGTTCTCTCGTGCCCTCCCCTGGCCACCTCCCAGAGCCAGGGGACGTCTCTGCTCCCTGGGGTGGCCTGGGTGGGCACCTGCAGCTCTGTGCCACCCCCTTGGGGCACTCAGTGGTGATCCCTGGGGTGGGGTGGGGTGCTGTGGGGTGTCGGAGGAGCAGGTGCTGGTGCTGATGGGTGCCGGTGTCCTGCCAGGGTTCCTGGGCGAAGGTGACGCCATCACCAAAGCCATCCAGGACGCGCGGCAGCTGCTGCACGGCCACAGCGGAGCCATGGAGGGATCCCTGAGCAACCCCTACCGCAAGGTGAGGGATGCTGGCCGGGTGGTCACATTACCCCTCTCTGACCCCACCGTTGGTGGCCAAAGCCAGGTCTCCGTCTGTGAGTGAGCTCCAAGGCTTGGGGCTGGTTCCTGACCCTCCGCTCTCCCGCAGGACCACGTCGGGATTGATTCTTCCCCCGTGAAGGAGCGGATGGAGGAGACGCCGGCCCACCGCCTGGACGAGGCTCTGCTGACCTGTGAGATGGACGGTGAGGATGGCCAAGAGCACCGCGCTGTGACCCCCACCCCCCCTTTGGTCCTTCCTCTGGCTCCTGACCTCGGCCGGGGTTTCCCTCACAGGCTCACGGCACTTCCCCGAGTCCAGGAACAACAACCACATCAAGCGGCCCATGAACGCCTTCATGGTGTGGGCGAAGGACGAGAGGAGGAAGATTTTGCAGGCTTTCCCGGACATGCACAACTCCAGCATCAGCAAGATCCTGGGTGAGTGCTGGGGATGGCACTGGGGGGACCGAGGCAGGACCCCCCCCTCTGTGGGGGGACACAAGCTCCGGCCGGCTGCTCGCTCCACCCATCCTCAGCCTCCACGTAGGGGTGATGCCCGCCAGGGTGATTCTACCCCTGTTGTAGCATTTCTGTTGGAGATGCCTGGAGCAGCGTGGGCCTCATCCAGCCAACGCCTCACATCCCCTGACAGCAGTGGTCCTGTGGCTCTCGGTCACACCAGCCCCTTCCCTGCGGCCACGTCGCTATTAAAGGCGAGCGGTGCGGTCACCACCGAGCCCGGCCGGAGGGTGGTGTTCCCTCCGACACCTGCACCTCGCTCTGCCACCGACTCCTCTTAGCAGCTCCGCTCGTTAAAGAAAAAAAAAAAACAACAAAACAACCACCAAGCTTTTCCCTTTGAAGGAACGTGTAGGCAGGCTCTGCTCTGCTTAACTCTTGTGGCCAGGGCATGGGCTGTGGGGGGGCTGGGAGCAGGCGTGCTCTGGTGAGCTGCTTGCTGTCGTGGTAGATGTCCGTGGCTTTAAATAACCAGTGTGGTTCTGCCCGGGGAGCCGGAGCCGCTCGCTGCTCGCAGGGTGCAAATCTAGCAGGGGGATACCTGCAGATGGATGAGTGGTCCAGAGCCGGTGTGAACCCAGGTTGGGAGGGGGGTTGGATCCTGTGTGCTCTCCTGCTCCTGGAAATGCGGGTCTGAGCCCATGCGAGGGGCTGAGTGTGTGGGGAAGGAGCTGGTGGAGGACACCATGGGCAAGGGGTTTGCATCTGTCCGTGCCTCAGTTTACCTGGGCTACCTGGCTCGTGGTACAGGTGGAGGTGGAGCTGCCTGAGGGAGCTGGGCTGTGCCGGCGGGTGAAGGACACCCGGGAAAGGCAACACGGGGACTCACGGGGGGATTTAGATGATGGGGGGATGTATGTGGAGATCTCTGCAGCCCTGCCTAAAGCCCCGCTAACCCCGTAGTCCCCTCAGGGCTGTGTCCTGTTGACTGTTGAGCATCTCCAAGAACACTGAGTATCTCCAAACATCTCCAGCTCATCCATCTTGCTTCCAAACCAGGCGCTGGTCTGGCTGCAGCCTCCCAGGTGCTGAGCTGAGGGCAGGAATCCTTTCTCTCCACCAGCCTGGCCCCGAGCCCCTCTCCCAGCCCAGCAGCCTTTGTGCCTTGCTTCCCCCTCCTGCCCGGGGTGCTGGCAGCGATGATAATAAATGTCAGCCCGTGGGGGAATGTGAGTCACACGCCGGCACAGCCTGTTTTAGCCACAGCACCTGCTCGCTGTACCTTGGAGAGGCTCGAAAGCTGTGGTCTGAGATGTGCCAGGGGAGGGTCAGGGCTGGGGACCCGTTCCCGGTGTTCCCCATCCCAACATGGGGCTCCCACTGGTGCTGCCGCGCTCACCAGCTGGGTACAAATACAGCTGCTGTTTGCCCAGGGCACGGTATGAACATTAAGTAACTCTCACGGTGGTTCTCCCAGCCGGGAGGCGGTGTGGGTTTCACCAGAGCAGGCAGGGTGTAAGGTGCCCCGTGGCTCCTCTCCACGCAGGCTCCCGGTGGAAATCCATGACGAACCAGGAGAAGCAGCCCTACTACGAGGAGCAAGCCCGGCTGAGCCGGCAGCACCTGGAGAAATACCCCGACTATAAGTACAAGCCCCGACCCAAACGCACCTGCATCGTGGAGGGGAAGCGGCTGCGCGTCGGCGAGTACAAGGCGCTGATGAGGAACCGGCGGCAGGACGCCAGGCAGGGCTACTTGATAGGGTAACGCGCCCCTTTCCTCCCATCTGGGGGAGCCCACCGAGGCGCCCATGGGGTGGGTGCCCCAGGAGGTTGGGGGGGAGCACCCCGACAGTCCATTTGGTGAGTGGATTCCCCTGTCCCGCAGGCCCCAGGGCAGCCAGGTGCCCCCCTCCTCCTCGGACGTGCTGTACCAGCGGCCCGTGGGCATGCAGCTGACGTCCCCCGTGATGGAGCACTACCTGCCCCGCGGCGTGGACCCCAACATGCCCGTCATTGTCAACACGTGCAGCCTCAAGGACAGCGACGGCGGAGACGACGGGCACTCGGTGGCCGATGGGGAGATGTACCGCTACAGCGAGGAGGAGGACTCAGAGGGCGAGGACAAGAGTGACGGCGAGCTGGTGGTGCTGACAGACTGAGGGGGGGGGGCCGAGGGGGTGGT